CAGAGAGCCCGATGCGGGGCTCGATCCCAGGACCCTGGGATCATGACCTGAGCCGAAGGCAGACGCTTAACCATCTGAGCCACCCAGGCGCCCCCTCCCTCCAACTTTTAAGCCAGCTAAGTCCTTCTCACCCTGCATCGCTCTGACCTCCTCACCTGCCTTCCTCTTCTGCTTTAAAACACGTTCGTGATTACACTGGGCCCGCCTGGATAATTGAGGATAATCTCATTTGAAGGTCAGATGATTAGCAACCTTAATTCCATGCACAACCTAAATTCCTCTTTGCCTTGTAACATAACATATTCACAAGTTCCAAGGATTAGGATGTGGACCTCCTTGGGGTGAGGGAGCATTATTCTGTTTACCACACCATCAGACCTCTTTTTCTCAAGCCATAGTAATATTGGGAGAATAAACGAGCTAGTAAATATGTACAGTATTCATTTCACACACACAAAAAACAAACACAAAAACTTGAGCACTTACTATGTGCCAGGCACTATGTTAGATAGTGGGGAAATAGGATGGTGAATAAGATCTCCACTAGTACATTCCAGTAGAGGTGGACAACCAGTAGACCTATAGATTGGCAGACAGATCAATCAATCAGTAGACTGAGAATAGATCTATTTACTAGTTCTAGATGTTATGAGAATAATAACAGCTCGTACTAAGTGCAACAACACAAAGTAAAATAGCAGGACTGGATGGCTACTTTCCAGTGAGTGATCAAGAAAATCCTCTAGGATAGGGTAACATTGGGGCTGAGATCAGAATGGTAAGACGTGCCCCCTCCAATGAGAAGATCTGAATCAGAAGGGGCTGAGATCAGAATGGTAAGACATGCCCCCTCCAATGAGATCTGAATCAGAAGCAAGTTTGTGTAGAACCCAAAGCCAGGAGGTAGTAGGAAGAGCTGTGAGACTCTAGCATCTTACCACGGAGGCACCATCAGCACTGAGTATAGGGCCTACAGACTTTTTAAGAGCCAAAGAAATGTTTAAAACCTTTACCAAAAAAATTATTGATTCCAAGAGACCAAAAGAAAACCGTGAAATTGAAGCGAATAAATATTTAATTGACATATTCATACTTTATTGATTGTTAAATGTAGTAGTCATAAAATATTCATTACATTTGTAAACAATTTGTAGGTTCAATTTTTTCACCTCTTCAAATTCCCAAGTATACACAGAGTTCTTACAAACCAGAGTCAATCATAAATTAGGGGAGTTTATCATAACCAAATAATTATGAAAGCACCAATTAAAAAGCCTTTTAAAATAATTTACAGCAGGGCGCCTGGGTGGCTCAGTTGGTTAAGCGACTGCCTTCGGCTCAGGTCATGGTCCCGGCGTCCTGGGATCGAGTCCCACATCGGGCTCCC